CAACACAAACAGTTTTAGGGTGATTTTTTTTTATTTTCTACAAGAATCAGAAAAAATCTCAAAAACATACCGATAAAAAACTGGCCCAGCTTTTTGCAAAAGTATGTACAGCACCTGGGATTCACAACTCTGCTAAAAAACACATTTTAAGACAGCTTTGAAAAAAGTTAGCCTTAAACATTTCAAAATATTCAAAGATATCAGGTAAACAGTTTTAGGGTGATTTTTTTTTATTTTCTACAAGAATCAGAAAAAATCTCAAAAACATACCGATAAAAAACTGGCCCAGCTTTTTGCAAAAGTATGTACAGCACCTGGGATTCACAACTCTGCTAAAAAACACATTTTAAGACAGCTTTGAAAAAAGTTAGCCTTAAACATTTCAAAATATTCAAAGATATCAGGTAAACAACGTTCGCATTTCTATGGACATGCTGGAAATTAAGAGCCCAAATAATAGGCCAGCTGCTCAGCTGGTGTCCCTCAGATGGCGCAACAGATCACTTTATACCAGTTGAAGATCTGGCCCGCATATTTCAACTCAAAAATTAAGGCTAAAATGGAGACTCCCCCTCGGCCCGGAGGACTCCAGATTCCCCCAGTCAGGCCCTGCTTTTCCGTGCCAATCAGGAGCCCGTCCCTCGCCTGACTTGAGAACTCAGGCAACACGTTGATCTTATTCATCATAAAAGCATCAAGCAGACAAGACCCCAACTGTTTTGCTGAGCCTCGGTGCAGCCAGCCAGTGTCCTGCATGCCCTCTAAGGACAGAGATGTCAGCATCTGAGATCCATGGCTTCCATCTCCTGTGTGGGTGGTGCTTCTGTACAGTGATCATTTAAACCACCAAGCTCTCTCTGCTGAGGTCCTGGTTCTGGAAGGGAAACAGATGTGGCAAGATCAGCAAAGGGTCACATCTCTGGCCCACAGAGACGTGAAATGCCTTGGAGTGAGACTCAGCATGCCACCTGCTGAGCTGATGTCCTGGGGTGGGGGTGTCTAAGAGCTCTTCACTGGGAGAGAAATCTAAGGCACTAGCATTGTAGCTATGTGGGGCCCAGGGTATTAGCGAGACAAGAGAGGGCGAAGAAATATCTTGGAAGCTCATCTCCTCCAACAGGGGTGCACAAGCCAGGGACTTGGGAAAAAAGAAGATTGGCTTTAAAAAACAAAATCATGCCGAGTACTTATTTAGCCATCTCCTTCCAGAGTCTCACAGGGGTGTGTTGGCAACAGAACTGGCCCAAGCCTCAGCATTTGAGGGACATGAGAGGAAATGTCTCCCCAGCCACAAGTGGAAGAAAGCTTTCTCTTCTGTAAATCCCACACCAAACAGGAGACTTGAGGAAATCCTAAGAGGCAGCCACACCTATTCACCAGCCAATCAAGGACCTGCTGAGGAAGGAGTGAAGTCTAATGCCCTTAGGCCTGCATAACTATGTACATCCCCCTGCCCCCTCCTGTGCCCTGAGGGGAGAGTTACTTCAGGCAGTTAAAGACTTCCTGTCCCACACAGCCTAGTTGGGATTGGTCCTGCCTTAGACAGGGGGCTGGACTTGAAGGCCTCCTGAAGTCTCTTCCAGCTCTAGGATCCTCTCAAAGGCCCTCGAGAGGAACAATGAGCTGCTGGATCTAGTGCGAGCAACGGCTGTGCTGCAGCCATTCCTGACATGAATTTGTAACTTAGACCGCCCCCCCCAAAGGACAAAGGCCCACTGTCCCAGTCACTGCCACAACCCCCCACCCCAAGCCAGTCAGTGCCCCTGCCAGGGGGTGGGATAGCAGCTGATATATCCTAGAGGAGCAGGGCCCCAAAGCCCACTCACCCGTCGGAGCTTGCGGTCGTTCTTGCCCCGGGAGGAGACCGACTCTGTCTCCGTGTAAGGGGGAGGTGGTGGCGGGAAGCCATCTTCATTCCGATGCCTCCTGTTTCCTGATCGCCCGCTGGACCCACTGTCCCCATCCAGGTCCTCACGGCTGCCAGCTCATCCCTTCCTGC